TGTTTACTTTATTTATTTTATTATATTTGTTTTATTCCTTTAAACTTATATGTTGTTTTTATAGTATTTTATAGTATTTGAACTTTTCTTGATATGTACAGCACTTTGCGGCAGCTGTGGTTGTTTTAAAGGGCTTTATGAATAAAGTTGAGTTGAGATATGCTACAAATATTCTAGCTCGGAATCCAATGGTTCTGAATTCAAGCCCCACTCCCACAGACTGCCACTCTGGGTCGCTGACCCCACTCTGCTCCCCGGGTGACGCACAATGTCAGCCCACTGCTCTCCAAGGGGATGGGTTAAATGCAGAGGTAAATTTCTCCAACGTGAGATCAATAAAGTTAAATTATCATTATTATTAGCTGAGGCTGGGGCTGGTAGAGCAGGTTACTATGACCTAATGGTGAAATGTTTTACTCAAATGAATCTTTGTATCTTCTTTAATAAATCAAAACTATGGGGGAGTTAGAAACCATAATTCCTCTGAGGTGCATGCAGACACAAAGATAGAAGACACATGATAGCTAAATATTAAACAACAGATAACATTACTGATAACACTCTAGGCTAAGCCACTTCCTAGAGTAGAAGTGTAATTCACCTAGTTAATAAAAAAATAATAGAATTTAGTGATCCCAGTTTTGGGAATTGTTCTGCTTTTGAGCTCTGCTCCTGTTCTATCACTATAAAAGCCTCTGCACTGATCCTACATCATGTTCTCTGCCCTGTTAACCTAAATAAGTGTTTAGTCTAGTTTTACCCTGGTGTGATCGCTAAAGTGTTCTTTTATTGTGAAAAGGCTGCTGTTATCAAAAGCACGGTAGGGTGTCAATATTTTTAGAGTGCAAATACTTTTTCAGAGTGCAACAAATATACGTGAATCAATGTTTTCTGTTCAGGACAGACCAAACTTTAACTTCCTGTCTTTAAATGCAGTTAATTGCAGGGCAGTTATAGAAATTGCATTGTAGATATCAAACAGTACAGTAAACTTGAAAAATATCCAAAGTAGTAAAGAAACGGGGTATTTACTTATACGGTTCCCTGACAGCCCACATGAAGACTTTGGTTTGTTCACCTCAGCAAACAAACCAGCAGCTGTCAGGCCCCCCTGCAGTTTGCTTATCGCCATGGAAATGGAGCTGATGATGCAATCATTCACCTGCTTCAGTAAAACTCACTGTCGTTTAGACAAGACAGAACGCGCCGTGAGGATCATGGTCTTTGATTTCTCCAGAACATTTAACACCGTTCAGCCTGACTGACTTTGAGAGAAACTCCTGAAGACTCAGGTGGAGGCATCAACAACCACCTGGATCAGAGACTACCTGATAGACAGACCATTGTCTGTCAGCTGCAAAGGATCACTTTTCTTTCATTCTGTACATCTTCGGCTTTCAGCACCAGAGAGATTCCTTTAATCTGTGCAAATACTCGGATGACCCCCACAGTTGTTGGATGAATCAGAGATAAATACGAAGCTGAGTGTAGGGAGCTTTATGGCATGCTATAGAAACAATCATCTGATCCTGAATGTACCTTTCTCTTCTTACCTCAGGGATTTGAATATGTGAAAACCAATCCAGATGAATGCTGTGGGACGTGTGTGCAAACACACTGTGTGATCAGTGTTAATGGTACTACCATGCAACTCAAGGTAAACTTAATCATCTCTTATAACTGTTTATATTTATTTTTTTTCTTTGTTTTTAAACCCCTCAATGTGTTTTTGCTGATTTTAAGGTTGACGAAACCTGGTCACCTCCTGAAAATAAGTGTGAGAGTAAAACCTGCGTGAAGAGCGGAGAGTCTTTTACAGTCATCCGCTCTAAAATCGTTTGCCCGTTCTTCCAAGAGAGCAACTGCAAAAAGGTATGTGGCAACTTTAATACATAAACCTGGAATATACACTGCAAATAATTTACATCTAAACGAGTAATTTTTTCTTAAAATAAATTCATTTTTTCTTGAATTGAAGAGGTAAGTGAAATACTTACTGCCAATGGAACAAGACAATTTAAATACATATCTTATTTCAAGGGCATTTTATCTTATTATCTTATTTTAGAGTGAAAATACTCAGATTGATGAATGGCAGTTCATCCTATTTACCTGCTCAAATTAAGGCTGAATATGCTAAATTTAAGAATGTTTTACTTATTTTTAGATAATTTTTGCAGTGCACCATAAAGAAATTAGTTCCAACTTTTGTTGTTGTGCTGTTTTCTGTACAGGACACAATTCAGACTGCAGCAAACGGCTGCTGTAAAATCTGTAAGTAAATATATATGTTTTACCTTTAGATGAAATCAGATTAAATAAGCAACACAAACTTAGATTTTTCCTTCGTCTCACATCTTAAAAGGTGTAGAGAAAGAGAAAGCCTGCAGGTTGGAGGCTGTGAAAACTTCTATTAACCACAATGGCTGTCAAGCAGAGGTCGATATGCCGTACTGCGAAGGATCGTGCAACACTTTCAGCAAGTAAGGATGACTTTACGTCTAGCTTGTCTTCCTCTAAGAAGTCACCAAACTGTACTAAACTGTTTCTGAGGTTGTGAATGTGCTAATCTCTGCTCCTTTTTATTTCAGGTACTCTGAAGCAGCAGGTGCTATGGAACATTCCTGCTCCTGTTGTAAAGAGAGACGCCTCAACAATCGCACCATCGATCTGGCGTGTGAAAATGGCGGGCACGTCCAGTTCACCTATGAGCACATAGAGGAGTGCGGCTGCGGCCACACAGAGTGCACCACGCCTGCTGGACATCTTCGAAGAAAGCGGCGCTTCACACTGCAGTGAAAACCTTTACTCACAAATGTGAGATATATATATAACCAGATTCCTTTAAATAATTACAAAGTCTCCTAAAAAGTATAACAAACTTTCTGGAGTGCATTTATCAGTTGATTCAATAAAATGATGCAAGTGACTTCAAGTCTCCTGTTTTTAATTATCTTTTTTTTATTTTTGGAATATTTCTTTAGAATATTCAAAATGTTATTTAATACTTATTGCAGCTGTTTTATGGGCAGTAACATGCATCATTAAACATAGAGGAAAGGTTTATGATTATGTCTATGACCTCTTTTCCCTCACTATTCTACATCAAACATCTATTCCTTTGCTAATTTGACCTTCCAAATTTTCTTATTTAATTTTCTGGAAATCAAAATGGGGGTCAAATTAGTTTTTTTTTTCAGCGCTGAATCTGAATATTAATTTAATTTCTTCTCTATCAACCTTCCTTCCCACAACTCTTTCTTCTTCTGAACTGCTTTCTTCTAATTCCCATTTATTTCCTTGATTCTCAAACCACCTTTCCCCCATTTTACCTCCTCTATCTCGCTCTTTCCTATTTGAAACTGTTGTCCAGCCTTCCTCATCCTCATCATCTTCATCTTCCTCATCTATCTGACCTGCCATTTTGTTCCTTCCAGTAACCTGTCAGGCAAAAAAAGTTTTTTATAAAGGACTGCCAGTTCATATGCCTCTCAGCCAATCCTGTGAGCTCTTCTGTCAGATCGCTCCCATGGCGTTTTTCCACTGACAGCCTTCTGCTTAAATGCTCCCCTGTCATGCAAGTATGAGTACCCAAAAAATAGTACTCAAGTAAGAGTAGCACTACTTGGTCAAATTTTAGCTAAAGTTAGGATTGAGAAGGAGCCATTCAAGAAATGACTCAAAAAAGCATTTGTTAAAAAGGCTGCTAAAGTCCTTAGTAAGTTTTGTCTTTGGATTTACCATTTAAAATTATGCAATAAGACAAAGCGAAAATTCTGATACTAAGTCTATAATTAAATAATTGAAGTAAATGAATAATTTAATTGAAAAATGAAATCCAGGCAGTGAAAGCACTTCACAAAACCAATTTTGTTTTTAGCAAAAAAAAACATATTCAATTCATTTAATTTCTATAATTCCCAACACTTATCATCTCAAGGCTCTTTCCAGTTCACCAGATCATCCAGTCAGATTGATTCAAAGTTTTCTATCTAAGGAAAACCAGCTGATTGCATCGACTCATTGACTCTTCAGCAATCCCTCACACTAAGCATGCTTGTAGCGACAGTGGAGAGGAAAAACTCCCTTTGAACAAGAAGAAACCTCCAGCAGAACCAGGCTCAGTGTGAGCGGCCATCTGCTGAGGCCCACTGGGGTTCAAGGAGACAGAAGCAGACATAGAAAAAGAAGCATAGATAAAAAAGGCAACTGTCAACCAGCTCCACAGGCGGCCCCGTCTGGGAAACACACAGCCAGGCAGACGAGCTCCGAGCCAGCTCCCATGTCAGAGGATGAAGAGAGCACATCCAGTTAGTCACAGTCAGTACCTCCAGTAAAAGCATTTACCGCTCACTGTATACGATCTTGATCTCTAAATTAATCAGTAGGTTCACCAGAGAGAAAGTAAAAGAAAAAGTAAGAGCTCAGTTACCCAGGAGGAGCTCAGAGTAGAGTCGCTGCTCCTCCACGTAAAAAGGAGCCAGCTGAGATGGCTTGGGCATCTGTTCCTGATGCCTCCTGGTCGCCTCCCTCGGGAGCTGTTCCAGGCATGTCCCATTGGGAGGAGGCCTCATGGAAGGCCCAGGACACGCTGGAGGGTCTATGTCTCTGAGCTGGCCTGGTGGCAGCTGGAGGAAGTGTGCGTGGATACGAAAGTCTGGGCATCTCTGCTCAGACTGCTGCCTCTGTGACCCGGCCCTGGCTAAAGAGGAAGATAATGATGGATGGATGGATGGATGGATGGATGGATGGATGGATGGATGGATGGATGGATGGATGGATGGATGGATGTTGACACCTCTGGGATCCTATAGGAAATGTTTGTACTGCTGGCAGCATAAACTACATCATGAACATTATTATTGTAAATAACACTGAGTGTTTAATAATCAAGTGTTTATACCCTAAATATTTTAATCATTATTGTTGACAGAATATGCTTTCACTCCCAAAAAAGAAGACTTTATTGTAATCAGTCATATGTGTGAGGGCTGGTATAACTGTAATTATATATTTATCTTGTTTCTCCTTTTTTCTTTGACGCTAACAATGTAATTACCAACCTGGGGTACATGTACCCCTAGTGGTCAACAAATGCATTGCAAGGGGTACATCAAGTATTGCATTTCTTAGGTAGTAAAATAAAATAGGCTTAGGATCTGTTTTCTGAGGACCCAACTGAAAAATTGAACAAGCTTTTATGAACCAAACAGTAAGTTTTCTTTGAGATCACCTTCAGCTGTGACTCACATCTAAACCAAGCAGAGGAACAGACTGGATGTAGAGAACAGTCCAGTATTATAAATAAAGGTTTATAATAGGAATTTATTTTGTATTTATATAGATTTCTTACAAATTAAATATTTATGTTGGGGTTTCATTTTTGATTTGGAAACGGTAAAATTCCTAAGAATTAAAAATATAAAGTAAAATAGTTTCTATTTTAGTATCAGTTATTGTATGTTCCACTTCTGACTGAGAGCAGGACCCATGGTAAAAAAAAAAGAAATTACCCAAAGAGGAACACAAGTTCAAAAAGTTTGGGAAACTCTGCACTAAAGGCTGGTGGATGTTTATTCAACCTATATATTCAACGGTAAAAGACAGCATAAGACATTGGTAAATATTTTATCAGAGTAATCCGGGGATTTGAGGATTTGTGTTGTAGCACAAGATTGACTAGAGCTTTTATTTGCTATGAAGGCAAAACCCAAAGCTCATCACATCATGGTTCATAACAAAGAGGATGCACTTGCTATGGAATGTTACTGTTACAGTTCCTACTGTATAAACCAACCGTTCCTGGTTGATATCTTTGTTTTACTTTTACAGTGCTACAAAAAAAACTTGTAATGCTTCATTACACAAACAAATAAAAGTTAAAGGGTATTAGTTACTCTAATATCCTTCCTTGGGTGTGATATTCAGGGAGCCCAATGTCACAGAGGTTTACACCCAGAATCTTGCTAACTCCTCCTAAACAGCAAACAACAGGGGAGCATATAATATGACATATCTGAAGTGCAACAGTTGGCTCGACTGTCCATCACACAGCAGGGAGAACTTTGGAACCATGAGAGGAGTCAGGATCTTTCTGGAATGGGTGATACCATGGCTCATCCCAATACTTGGACTATCGGCAGCCTCCTCAGGTAAGTACGCTAATGCAACTCGATGGGAGCTTTATACCCATTAAAACCTCATACTGGAATATGAATGTCTTTCTTCTTTTTCAGCAATGGTCCAAGTGTCAAAAATGGTGATAAGAGGTAAATATTTACATATGTTTTTTTTTTTTTCAAATACAAAAGTTTCTGTACTTTGAACTTCTGTATAATAAAAATTCTCCCCTCAAAAAAAAAGCAGAAGGGAGAGACTCCCACATCAACCAATTCTGCAGCACATGGGGAAACTTCCATTACAAGACTTTGGATGGAGATTTCTTCCACCTTCCCTCCTCCACCTGTAACTACATCCTCACATCCCAGTGTAAGGGCACCTATGAGAGTTTCAATATTCAGCTCCAGCGACAAGAGGTGGACGGCGTAATCAGCATCAAGAGGATTCTGATGAAACTGGATGGAATCATGGTTGAGTTATCCAACGCTTCGGTTAAGGTCATGGATAAACCGTGGGTGATTTTTTTTTTTTTATTTTTTTAATATCAGTAATTCTAAATGATTTGGTTGTGGTTTAGTTTTAATCATCAGAATTTGTTTTTTGTTTTGTTTTTTTCCAGTGTCTCCATACCGTTCAGCGATAGCAGCATTTCAATTGAGAAAACCAAGTCCTACATTAAAGTTTCAGCAAAGTTGGGTCTAGTTTTTATGTGGAATCAGGAGGACTCTCTCTGGGTACGTTTTACTGAATATAAAAATAGAATAAATTAACCTGGATACTTTTTTTTAATTAATTTTACTTTATGTTGTGCTGACAAGATATGTTCCCACAAATCTCTTTATATAAATGTGTGAGGTCACACCAGTTATCTAGAATTGGGTCAGATCATTTCAGTATAATCCAGTTCTATAGCAAGATTCCAAAAAGGTCGGTTTGATTTTGACTTTATTACAGTACATTCAAAATCAGTTGATTTTAAGACATAAAAATGTAAAACAAGATGTTGCTCTTAAAGGGGAACGCGTTTTTTTTTTTACATTGGGCCCTTGATTTTCCGTTATTCCATCATGTTCTACTCACCCATATGAGTTTTGTGTCATTTGGAGCCGTTCTGAAGATATTCCGTTAGGTTATATCCAGTAACGTCTTCCTATGGGCAAAGACTTGAAGGCACAAACTAAACTGTTCATCATTTATTCTTTATGGTACGCCAGCATTCAGAACATGGAGGCGAACTCAGCAGCATTAAGGAAGGTTAATTGTTATCTAATCTACTACAACATTAATTTGACCCCACAGAGGGAACAGCATCTATCATCATTCTAACACAATTAAATAAAGCCATAAAAAAACAGTATAAGCAGAATGAACAAAATTAAAACTTGATTTTGCAGGATTTCATCTAAACATATTAATTTTGCTGAAATGTCAACTTTTCATGCATTAAAGGTGGAGCTAGAAGCCAAATATAAGAATCAAACATGTGGCCTTTGTGGAGACTTCAATGAAATCCGTCATGATGAGTTCTTCCAGTCAGGTACAAACTGAACACATCAGCATTAAGCAGATAGAAACACCAATAAATCATGTTTTTCTGAACACAGGGACTCCCATAAGTCCTGATGAATATGCAGAGGAATGGAAAGTTGATGGTCCCACTGAAACCTGTAAAGTAGTCTCTTCTCATGCTGAAGAAAATTGCCCAGAAAAGGTACCACTTCCTAACTAAAAATATTGTTTTTTGTGCACTAAATATGTATAATTAATGCAAACGACCAACTTGAACTTACAGACAGATCTCTGCAAGAACCTGCTGAGTGGACCTGCTTTCCGAAGCTGTCGCAACCTGGTCGACACGGACTCCTTCTTTAAAGCCTGTGAGAAAGACTTGTGCTACTGCAAGAGCAACGACAGTGCATGCTTGTGTTCTACCGTATCCGAATACTCCCGCCAGTGCGCCCATGCAGGTGGACATCCACAGCAGTGGAAAACTAAACAACTCTGTGGTGAGAAACAAAACCGTCCACTTTTCAGCTACAGCTTCATTAGAACATATCAATGCATTTCAATGACCATTTATTCCGATGTTCTGAGTAGAAAAAAGCTGTCCTTTCAACATGGAGTATAAGGAGTGCGGTAGTCCCTGCACTGATACCTGCAGATACCGGCAGCAAAGCCAGCTGTGTGATGAGCACTGCATCGATGGATGCTTCTGTCCTGCTGGTTAGTTTCATCACCAATTTGTTATTTAACCGTTTAAAATGTTATGAAAATTCAGGTATAAAAAACAGGTTTTATTTATTTTGTAGATCGTAACAACACGAGAAGGACACTAAAGATCTGCTATTTTTTGTTTTCTATATAAAAATAGTTCTATTTATTATATTCTACTTCTACAAATAAGATAAAGACAAACAGAGGAACTCTATTTACTTTGATTCTATTTTTCCAGATTTCACGGTTCATATTTGTACAAACCTTAATGTCTGGTAAATAATGCTTGAATGTGGCTGTTTATTGTGGATACTATTACATTACAGGTACGATAAGGTTATATTGTCTTTTATAATTATTAAAAGTAATGATTAATCAATTACTAAATTAGTTGGTGATTAGTTAAATAATCTATTAATATGATTAATTGTTTCATCCATAGATAAAATACAATAAATGGGCGACACAGAGTAACTACAGCCCAGATGAACAACTTTTATAGTGAAGTTAATATTTAAAATGCTCAGTGTCAGTTCCTCTTATACTTCCAGTGCCTCTTATAGTTCCAGTGCTCATTTAAATAAAATACATTTATTTGGCGTCCCTTGAATGTATTATTTTGCATGATACAGAGAGAGCAGATTAGATTAAAAAAAATAAGAGTGGGGTTTACTTCTGTTTACCTCTGCACAATTCTATATCTTCAAAAGAAAAAACAGGATAAATCCACATATAACAGACATATTTAGACTATATTTGGTTGTCTACTGTCTTAGTCACTGGTAAGGTTAAATGCAAACCTTTTCAAATTGTAAATAAGTCCTAATTCCACATTGATCAGAGCCAGTTATGCTTTAAACATTGATAAACAGCATCTAGTGTATGTAGTGCTGATAAGATTTATATTAATGTAGAAGAAATTCTGCTGTTCTCTTTAAACAAAATGTGCCCTGATGCTCACATTAAGAATAAAAAAGAGCATAAATATTTTTGCAAAGGACCAATGAAACTGAAGACCAATAGTGTCCGTGCCAATGTTGAAATCAAACCTACGCCCTTGGACACTGCAGTTTAAAAACACTCTGGAAGTAACTTGTCCTCTTTACTCAAGTAAAAGTGAAAAAGTATGCGCTCCAAAAACTACTTAAAGTATAAATTAACCTTGAAAAAAAACAGCCAGATGCCACTATATGAATTGAAAGCTCAATTTCTAAAACTTATCTGGGATAGGGCCAAGGATGAGGGAGGTCTTGTTGGTCTCCATCTCCCGATACGCTCTCGCCTGTGTCCGACCTTTCAGACATTTCAACATCTTTTTCTGAATCCCACATTGTAGCATGGCATAGACAATTCACGTTAGCAGTTTGAAGAACACCTGCTTGCTTCTGATGATTTCCTTTAGCTAACCAATGAGTGTTTGCGTTCTATGACTCATCCGATCACACTAGTTTTCACTAGATGTGGATGGAGCCAATGATCTGCATTGGATGGAGGACATGACGGGAAATAAAGATTTAGAAACATTAAACCGAAGCCAAGAGGAACGAGTAACGTTTGTTTTAAAAATGTAAGGAATAGAAAGTACAGATACTTGTGTGAAAATGTAATGAGTAGAAGTCAGAAGTAGGAAGTAATGGAGTAAAGTATAGATCCCTGAAAAGTGCACTTAAGTACAGTAATGAAGTATTTGTACTTTGTTACTTGACACTGTTGCCTGAATTGGCTTTACAATTGAACTTAAGAATTATCAACAGTAATAACTAATTAACTGCTAACTCTTGTCTCCTCCTAGGAACCATCTTTGATGACATCACACAGAGTGGATGTGTTCCTGTTGAGCAGTGTCCATGTTTCCATGCAGACCAGATATACAACCCTGGAGATTCAGTCATGATGTCGTGTAAAAATTGGTAAAATACGGGGAAAAAAGGAATATCTGTTTCTGATGGCAAAATGGTTTGAATTAAAACAGAATTGATTCTTTTAAAGTACGTGTTCAAAGGGTGAGTGGAGCTGTGTACAAGTAAGCTGTCCGGCTATGTGCTCCATCCGCGGAGGCGCTCACTTCATCACCTATGATGAGAAGGCATATGATTTCCATGGAAAATGTTCCTACGTTTTGTCCAAGGTAAAGAATATGATAACAAAAAGCATTAAGCTGTGATAAATAAGTGTTACTTAATGTTAATAAAACATAAATGTTATTTAATTCCTTTTCTGAATTTGGTTATTTTTTCTTCTTGTGGATTTTAGGATGAAAGCAATACTTTTTCTGTGCTTGGTGTTTTTGACAAATGTGAAAAATCTGAGAAATCAACTTGTCTTTCTGCCGTTACTCTGAGGTACCAAAATCGCACGGTAAGATGTTTATGTGTTTTTTTAGGTGTTTAACATACCTACACACACGTCCGCTGACAAGGGCGACAAACGGGTCAATTGTCCCCGTCCCGGGACGGAGGGGCGCCCAAAAAAGACACACTAACCATCAAAAATAAAGGCAGAAGTTATTTTTCATTAAATATTTGTGATAAAAATATTTAACCCTTTGATGCCTGTTGTTGCTAATAAGCAACAAACCGTTTGTATTACGCTGCAAAAAATGTAAATCTAAGTTAGCCAATTTTTCTTAAAATAAGATAATTTTTTCTTGAATTGAACAGATAAGTTTGCCATTAGAACGAGACAATGTACATTTAAAATAAGAAAATAAACACCTGCAGTCTTTGGTTTCAAGTGCAATCTAATTATCTTATTTTAAAGTTAAAAATGCTTATTCCATTAGCAGATCATCTTATTTTCCGACTCATATTAATGGTAAATACGCTTATTTTTACGACACTGTTACTCATTTTTAGTACATTTTCAGAACACACACACATATATATATATATACATATATATATATATATATATATATATATATATATATATATATATATATATATATATATGTATAAATAGGACAACGGCGGGCTGCAATTGTTAAAGCTTGTTTCGCTTCGAACTAAGAATGTAGGGTTTTCAGAAGTCCGATGCACAGATAAAAGAGAGAAAAAGGAAAGATGACACCAAAGGCTTGAGGGATTTTAGGAGTAATTATTAAAATAAACTGAGGATAAGTCAGGAACAGGTCCAGGAACGGATTAGCAGAATAATTATGCCCATTCAGAGCCAGCTAAGAAGCAATGCAGTTATCAAGGGGATTTTAAAGTACAGCTCCCGCTATGTAGTGTAAAGGGAGAAAACACATTTTATTTCACAGAAAACTTGACCTTAGCGCCAAAAGAGCAGAAAGATGGCAGAGGTCCAGGTGCAGGTTGAAAGAGAGCAAAGCAGGGGAGCCAACCCTACTGATAACAGAGATTGCAGGTGGAAGGGCTTGCTGCATCACTGAGCCACTAAGCTCAGTGATGCAGCAAGCCGTTAATTTCAATGATCCCACCTTATGGCCAAAAAACATGACTGATTCTGATCCAGTGAATGTTTTTAATTTGCAGAAAATAAGTCTTTCTCAGAGATGGCAATTGAAGGCAGAGAATTTCCAAAGTGAATAACCTATTCTACCCCCCCACAATGGAAGGGAAAAAATAGTTAGGGACTGGCGGATATACAGCAGGTCAAAAAATGGCATGAAATAAACCGTACACACAAACATTGGTATTGGAAATGGAAAAACCTGCTTCATATTTTCCTATTTTTACCCGTGACTGACTGGAGGTGAGCGGTGTAGCAGGGGGGGCCCAAAAAGAGTGTGCTTTACCGGGCCCTAGCAAAGCTGTCAGCTGGCCTGCCTACATGCATCTATATATATATATATATATATATATATATATATATATATATATATATATA